TATATATTCATTAATAAAGCATTATGGTTGGTTTTCTAGTTAAAATCGTTGTATAGCATCATAGGAAATCAAAAAGAACTAAAATGTAGCAGTTTGGAAACTTATTAGATGACGGTTTTTATAATAAATCATGGTCTTTACAGATAATTAACGACGGTTTTTATAAAAAAGTGTCGTTTATTATAGGTAAAGATGACTTTTTTTTTTTAAAAAGGTCGTCTATTGTATGTAAAGATGGCAGTTTTTTATAAAAAAAACCGTCGTCTTTATAAATAATCCACGACGGTTTTCATAAAAAATCGTCATCTTTACATACAATAAACGACGGTTTTATTAAAAAGAGTCGTCTTTCCTCCTATAATTAACGATCTTTATCTCTAAACAACAACGATTTTTTTTTTAAAACCGTCGTCTTTACAGATAAGCAACGACGGTGAAAAGTCGTCGTAGTTTGAAACCCAAATAGACGGCAGTCGATTTCATGACGGTTGGAAAAACCTTTTACACGACGGTGGTTTCCCGTCATCTATTTCGATTTTTGTAGTAGGGAATGTAAATTTGACATTACCAGTTCATAGGGAAAGGCTATAATGAGGAATTTAGAGTGAGGAGGTTGTTTGAGGAGGCCAATCCCACCATCAACACATTTAAAATATTTAGGTCCCATGATTTCTTTACATTTGTTGATGGTGAGATTGACCTCCTCAAATAGCGTCCTCACTTTAAACTCCTCATTATAGCCTCCTTGCAATTGATGTGCTTCCAATTGTTGACTTGGTGAAGCAATATGATCTAGGTCTTGAAACTAAACCAATTTGTCCAGACTAACTCTAGCCTCAAATGCAGGTAAATGCATCATCTCTAAATGCAGAAATTTGGTATCTTTAATTAGGACATATATGGGTAGAGCTCTAAATTAAAGAAAATCCAAATCAAACATGTTTATATATATAGAAATCACAAGCCTTCAAACCAAGGCCGGACCATAGTTAGTGTTGGCCCTCCAATTAAAATGATAAAGCCATTTACAATTGAGTTTTAAATTTTGGTATTAGTCTGAAAATTCTAACTCTACCACCACTTGAAACCATATTCATAAAGGTTTAAAATGTACAAGAAAGAAATACAGATTACTTTAATTAATATAGTACAAATACTGCATAACGAGCTAAATGTTACACAACGAATCGTAAGAATACAATGCAATACCTAGCTACTATTAATAACCACTATACATTCCTGCAGGTACGTCTCCATTTCATTCAACCACAGGTCTGCAAACTCGCAATTCTTCCAAGCCTCAAACCACGGTCCTCCCCGAGTATAGTGTATTGCCTTAGGGAAAGTCCGGGGATTACCTTCAACAACTTGGTTATGTCCCTCAAGAAAATTCCAAACAAATGGGATGGACCCAATTTCTTCATCCTCAAGCCACTGAAACCTATGAAGAAAAGCGCCGGTTTGTGTGTTCACAACCTCCGGCGTCAAGACCCGGTTTTTGGGATGTTCACAATTGTACAACACCATGGAAGACCAATTCTTCCTAGGGTACACAGTTTGCAATGCTCCATCCATTTTTGTTGTCTCCTTTGGGATGTAATCATGTTGAACACACATGATGGCATATTTCTCATCAACCAAATCTCTTAGCTCCTTAATGTCAGCTAGGTAAAGAAAATCACAATCCACGAACACTGCCCAACCTTCATAGTTGGCCAAATATGGAGTCAAGAACCGAGTAAAAGAAAACTCTGTGCTCTCCAGTTGGCCTCTTTCACGCCAATATAGGCCTTCCTTTCTCAGATCAGATTGTTTAAGTGGTATGATCTCAACTGGGATTGAAGATCTCTTCAATATTGAGTGTCGACAAACCTCATATGCAATGTCCTCACGTTGATCATAACCCACAAAGATCTTAAAGGGCTTGTCCTTGTTCATGCCTCCATTACAACCCAATGGATTAACCGTGCAGTCGCCCAAAGTCATCTTAGTTGACACTGATTGTACAACACTCTGTTCAAAATTTAAATTGAATAATGAGGTTAACTTTTTTATTTTATTTTCTAGGAGCGATGGAGTTTTCTCACACACACACTATTATAGGGTACCCATCAGTATGAGGTTTTAACTTATATCAAACAATGAAAATGGCATTTAAGCAATTGAAATCGGACTACGATTTTTAGGATAAGGAATAAACAAAAAATGGAACTACAGTTTTTTTAGGATGGATCAAAATCCTCTACTTAGTTTTTCTTTACTAAGATTTGCTTGGCTTTTATTATTCTTTTTTCTCGATAAAGAGCGATATTATTACTTGGTTTAAAATATGTCACATCATTTAAAATATATATGAAGACTAAACAATTTGAATAAAAAATGAAAAACCTCTAATTGCTGGAAAAAAGAAGTACAAGTTGGAATATACCAAGTTGTTGATAGTAATATTAGTACTAGAATACAATATACATCTTATTATTAGAGGTTCCACAAAAAAGAAAAAAAAATAGAGATCCCTATATGAAATGATTATCCTCACTATTACTCTTATGGTGTGTTTGGATGAAGGAAATAAAATTGGGATTTCGACAAAACTCAGAATTTCTAAATTGACATGAACCAATTCCGGTGTTTGGATAAAAAAAATAGAAATTTAGAAATTCTCCGTGGAAAAAAACATGGAATTTGAAGATCATAAATCCCAAGTTTAAATTCTATCTAAAAGTCGTCATTTCTAAAGTTCCAAGAGAGATTGAGTTAAAAAAAAAATAACTTTACAATTAAATGTTAAATTCCGTGTTTTAAATCAGTCACCAAACAAGAAACTTTACAAATTATAGAACATTAATTTCCGTCATTTTAAATTCTGTCATTTATGAAATCTTTTGTACTTTTAAATTTCCTCATCCAAACGCACTGTTAGGGACAGTTTGACATTTGGTAAACTTTTTGTTAAACGTGATGTTGGTACAAGAATCAGTTTTTAAGTGTTTGGTAAATTTTGTTGTGAAAGTGTTGTAAGCTATGTATAATGGGTAAAAAGGACATAATGTTGAAATGATTTTTTTGGTCATGTGTTTGGTAAAAGGAAAAGCACTTTCATTTTCACTTACATATATTTTTTTGTATTAAATATGTTTTCATTACACCCTAAAAATTATTTAATTATAACATAAATAAAGTATTATGTTGAAAATTAAATATTTGTATTCAAATGTTCTAAACTACTGTTTCAAGTTTAATCCAATATATTCCTTTTAAAATAAATATTTTGTCAATAATATGATCATAACAAAAATAAAGCTAATCATAAGCAAGCAATCATATACATATCTAAGTAGATGAACTCATTGAAGCTATATATGATTTCTCATAAAAATGACAATCACATTTGGCATGTCTTATAGTGATGAAGTGTCATGGTTGCAATAACTATTTTTACTTGTTTTGCAAAAGGATAACTAGGCATGTCTCATAAAATACTTTTTCTAGTTTCCAAAAGTGCATTCAATAACACTCTAAGGGAAGTATGCATGATTAAATACCTTTTTATAACCCATCGATTGACCACACCTACGAAAATTAGGAAGATGATAACTTTCACTTTTAAACTCTAGTGCTTCTCCAAACCAATTGTCGCATAATTAGAAAATGAAAGCAGCTCTATACCAGCTTTCCCTAATTTCTTTTTCTCACAACAATTACTCACAATCACTACCACCCCCACCTCCTCCACCACTACCTCTCTTACAAACCACCATCGCTATAAACTCCAAGAAAATCAATAATAAAATTCTAACAAACTTAATTAAAATCTATACACGAATTCAGTCAAAATCTATGTGGGGTTTGTAGAATTCAGTCAAACTCAATTAAATTCAATTAAACTCCATCAACTTTATAACTCTTTTAAAATCATTTAAAATTTAAATTGAATACACCCTTATTAATTTCTTACCAAACATCATGTGCTTTCAATTTTTTTTTTATAAAATAATCACTTATGGGCCCAAATAAGTAATGTCAAATGAACACTTAATGACACTCATATAACAAAGATGTTTTATTATCAATTGGAGTGATGAATTTGAATATTGGATTTCTTCCAACATTGATAATTTATTACTCTATTTATTAATAATTCAGTAAATACTTGAATATATTTTGGTATATTCTTCGGTAATGTTGGTAATATTCGATTCATTAATAATCGGTATATATATCTTTTTAATTTTTACCAAAAAACAACCCACCTTTTTTCGGTTTTAGATTCTTCCATTTTCGGATTATAAAATCCGGTACCCAACCAAAAAAAACAAAACTATTGGTAATCGGTCTGCTCGGTTTTTACTGTGGTAGCCCTACAAGAAAATGAAGAAAACATAGCGATGTTGCAATTGGTCAATTTATGCTTTCTTTTCCATTCTTTAAAAGAAAGATGAATAGCTGTCATGGGATAAATGAAAACTAAAAGGATACTTAGTTTTTGAGAGTCCCAATTAGCAAGGTTACAGGATTTGAGCAGTTAATTTCCTACATCAGTTTACGTAAAACCAAATAGAGCCAAAAAAAAAAAAAAAAACATATACCAAGGACTGAAGATATTCAAACCAGGAAAATGCATGCGCAGAAATCAAATCCTAGCCATTAAAACCCACAGAATACATAGTTTGAGAGAGACAGAGACAGAAAGAGAGACAGAAAAAGTACCGAAAGACTGGAAATATGCAGATCTTGCAGCAGCAGAAGAAGAAAAGCTGAGGCCTTCTTGTTGAGTGCAGAAGGAAACTTTAGTTAGATTCTGAAAGACAAGCAAACAAACCAACCATTTTCCAATTCAGCATTTTCTGCAGAATGAATTCGAAACGTCAAAGAAGCCCCACAAAAACACTACCAAAATTTATGACCACCATTTGAAGTAAAAAAGAAAACATACCTCATCGCCTCTCTCAAGGGTTGCTTTGGCTTGAGAGATTGTGGTTCCTTGTGGGTTTGGTTGTGGTTCCTTGTGGGTTTGGTTTTAAAGACACAGAAGTTGAAATAATTATTAGTTGTAGAAAGAAAAGATAAGATATGGGGCCAATTATATAGAATAACATTTTCAGGCTGTCTCCAATCCTTCACTTTCTCCCTTTGGAAATTGCATGGCCACTTGGCCAGCATTATTAAGGTACATATGTAGGGTTTTGTTCTTGACAAAGATGGACTAGAGATAGCGAGTACAAATTCTGTTTGAAATACTGGCGCGTCAATCTTTGGATGTTGTAGGGCATGCGGGCTACAGACTACCAGTACAGCCCCACAAAAACACTACCAAAATTTATGACCACCATTTGAAGTAAAAAAGAAAACATACCTCATCGCCTCTCTCAAGGGTTGCTTTGGCTTGAGAGATTGTGGTTCCTTGTGGGTTTGGTTGTGGTTCCTTGTGGGTTTGGTTTTAAAGACACAGAAGTTGAAATAATTATTAGTTGTAGAAAGAAAAGATAAGATATGGGGCCAATTATATAGAATAACAATTTCAGGCTGTCTCCAATCCTTCACTTTCTCTCTTTGGAAATTGCATGGCCACTTGGCCAGCATTATTAAGGTACATATGTAGGGTTTTGTTCTTGACAAAGATGGACTAGAGATAGCGAGTAGAAATTCTGTTTGAAATACTGGCGCGTCAATCTTTGGATGTTGTAGGGCATGCGGGCTACAGACTACCAGTACAGCCACATAATTCCCACCGACACAATTTGGGCCTGATTTTTTTCTAAAAAAATTTATATGTTTTTATATCAAAATAAACAAAACTTTTTTAAAAATAATTTTTTTTATAAAATAAAAAAATAAAAAAATAAAAAAATAAAAAACAAGAGGGGAAAAACTTCCACAAACACTTTGAAACACACTAATCCAGTTGAATGGCCGGAAGGATTCTAGGTGGTACACGATCAACCCAAGTATCGTCTTCTTACATTTCGTGACCAAGAGAGATCTGCAGCAAAATTCCCCTTACGAGGGCCAAACAAGTTGTCTGATTTTGTGATTGGGCTTTGAGTGGGGGTGATTTTTAAGAGAAAATGTCCAACTTATTTCTTAAGTCGGTATGGAGTGCACTCAATTGAGATTTCAACTGATTTCGGTGTTCCACTTTCATATAGCTCCCATTATTATTATTATTTAGGAACTTTTTTTATTGAGAGGGGCAGTAGTATATTAAACTCACGCACACTACACTGATGCTAGGACTCAAACCCTGGACCATTCCTAGGAGAGCCATTGAAGGAAACATTAAAATCCTAGTTATATTTAGCCACAAAGATAAGGTTACAAATAACTTTAGGCTACAGAAGCTTTAAAATTTAATCTTTGAGCTTTAACATGACTAACCCCAATTATTTTTAAGCTTTAACATAACTAACCGTATAAACTTTACCCTTGAATTACTACTCAAGGTTGACATCCTTTGAGTTGATCACCTTATGGAAGGCCTTCTAGATTCACTAAATCACCAATAGAGGTGATCTCTAACTTTTCTACACCGAGGAAGATGGAGAATATGATGCGACCTAGGAAGGCAATGATGCTAGTGCTCATTTCCTAAGGTGGCTAGTTTTGGCTAGGTGGGAGGAGCTTGATGGTGATCTAACTCCTCTCTTGAAACTAGCTCAAAAACCCTTACTTTTCTAAAGAGACAAAGTTCATATATATAGACCCACAAGAAGGAGACCTAAGTCTTCCTCTAGGTAAAACCGGCCATGGGGTAAATATTGGGCTTGTTGGGCTCAAGTGGTCATCCTACTAAGCCCACATAACTTTATTAGCCCATTGGGTCCAGGCCCAAAAGTCCTTGAACCCAATTTCATAGTTTATGCCTAAACTTCATCAAACCTTTTCAGTGTGTGATCTATTAGGTTCTAATCGACAAGGTAGTGGGCGATCCAAAACTCTTTATTGATTGATTATGAATTAAAACTTCTTTTTAATTCTCCCTTGATGAGAACTAGATTATATTTTGTTCCCAAGGCTTCCACAGACTGTGAGTGACGTCGAGCAACATGTCACGGTTGCCCAAGCCAATATAGAATAATGTTGTGAACCTATTCAATTGAAATTATTTTGTTCTCTTAATCAATGCTCTTGATCATGCTATTGGGGCATGACATTCATGTCAAACCCTTAGCATGATCTATAGTCTCATGTGATTCATTGGAGCATGATCACAATCTTTATTATTGATCTAGCCTGTTGCTTTGGCCAAAGACTTTGAGTCACATCTTTTGAGCATTCTCCTCCTTTATTGAAGGTCATCCCTTGTTGTACACACTCAGATGTCTCCATGAATTGATCATGAACCCTAGTCATATATTTGGGTTATGCCTAAAGGAAACACAATGCTTCAACATGGCCAAGGGCCCACGACGATTCCATGAGACAACTCGTGGTGCCTTAGGTCAATGAGTAATTTGCACTATTCCAACTTGAGAGATCCTTATTTACATGTAAGTAAGACTTCAATTCAAGTTCTCTCTCTTGATCACGTTCATTGAATTCATTCTCTATTGAACACCTAGATACTTATCTTAGAGTCTCCACATGAATGACTCGAAACCAGTCATCCTCCTGATTAAGCAGATACAGTGCATTGACCACGAACTATTTAGGATATGGACATGGTACATAAAGGTCACATGAACTTCAATTCTTTAAGTCACTTTCTATGTCTGACAATCCACGGACTTATTGGTTAAATGTTTAAGATTAGCATACTTCTAATGGCAATTGCTCCTACTTTGCCATATAGCTCCCATTATAGATTTCTTATTGATGGCCTTGTTGACTATATTTTTTTGGTCGAGAATCAAATCATTATTAGAAACAGAACATTACAACAGGTCCAAAGACAAAGACATTTAAAAAATGCCCAAAAACAATAAAAACAAAACAAACAAAATAAACATAAAGAAGCCTACTAACAACCGCCTATGACCACTGCAAACCCAAATAACCTTACCATAAAAAATAAAAAAATAAAAAAATAAAAAAATAAAAAAAAACCAGTAGCCTCCATCACTACAAGGTTTATCACCACCAAGGCAACCACCAGAATAGAGGGCTAGAAAGAGACCTTGGGAGACCAATTGAAAAGGATAGGAGTGAAACCGCAACATACTCATTTGTCTAAATAATGGATCCAACAAGATCCTTAACTCCCAAAGCCTTGTAGCCCAAACCCATGCATCATCCATGGTATGGATGGGGATAAGCATGAGGAAGGAAGAGCCGGTGGGGAGCTCAGGAACCAAGGGAAATATAGATGTAGGGGTGATGCAGACTTAGCAGTTTGGGGCAAAATGAAAGAGAACTGGTGAGGTAAGGAAAAGAAGAAGAGGGAGGAGGGTGGAGTGAAGGAGCACAAAAGGAATAAAGGTGGAGAAGTCATGAGAAAAGTCATAGGGGAGAAGAGACATAAAGGTCAAAAGAAATGAGGAGAAAGAGAAGCGCAATAAAAGGCAGAGAAGCTGCCATGATAGATCGACCACCTCGAAGGACAGATGAGGCTCCCCTAAGGGAGGTTGGAGAAATCGCCAGCTGTTCACATTGTAGGATAATAGCACATGTTCATACTCTTCAAACCTCATTTTGTTGGTGTAAATATCCTTTAAAATTTTTGCATATGAAGGGATTTGTTTGATTGCATCAAGCAAATGGATATTAATTTGCACTTTCTTAAATTGTTCCATAATATCTCCCTTAAACTTCTCATTTCAAGCTTGTCTATCATGTTGAGGGAAAGGTAGAGGACCGTGAGGTTATGCATTGGATCAACATGATTCGCAAATTCAGCAACTTTGTCAAGGGTCAGAGTGTTACTTTCATACCTCAAGGAGCCCTCAAACTTCTTGTCAAGCTGCTGCCCTGTTTCTTTCATGTCTTATTCTTATTCTTCTTTATCATTAATCTATGGATTTCCAATCTTATTATCAATCATTTTCCCGTTTCTCAAAGTGTAATAGCTTTAACATGATCATGATTCCTGGGATTTACTTCTTTTTGGCTTGGAAATTAACCTTGTGCTCTCTCTAATCTGTTCAGAGTAGTAACTATTTGTCCCAACTGAATCTTAGATTTAGATTGACTCTTTTCCAATATAGATTGGCGTAAGTGATGCAACCTCTTGTTGAACAAAAGTTTGATAGGGTTGCTGGTATTATCTTGAGGAATTGGAAGGTCCCACGATACTAAGTGAGTTGCTCCAAGAAAAGTTTAGATGTTGTCTTCATCCAATGTTGTAAGTATTAGAATAAGGATCATTCTAGCACCTTCCATTGAATGCATTGACCTCTTGCACATCTTTTAAAGTAGGATTTGATGGGCAAATCATAATGTCATGGGTGATAATGGCAAACATAATACATGGTTGCATTGTTACCTCGTTCCCCAATGGTGTTAGAAGCTTTGTGAGAGCTACAACTCTAGAATCTTTTGTCAAAAAGTCCCATTGCTCATCATTTTCATAGATTGTCTCAACAAAAAAAAAAAACTTATGGCTTTATCTGTAGTCATATCAATTAGACTAACCCCTATTGTTGAATCAAGCCTCTAAAAAATTAGTGAACCTTCTACTAAGTGTCAAAACCATGATGAGTGCATTGAAGAAACAAGTCCTTATATCGCCCCCAACTTCTATGAAATTGTTTCACCCTCTTTGTTGACAAAAACTCATAATATATGGGATCAGAGCATTGGTCCTATGAGTAGCAAAAAATTTTGAAGGAAATTTCGTAGATAAAATAGTCCAAGAGTTTATGGATGCTTCTGAAAGTGAGTCTAACCAATTTGTTGCTTTATCCATTAGGGAAAATGTGAATAATTTGAGAGAAATTTGCTCTTCACAACCCCGTCAAAACTAAATATGGAGCAGGTAGTAAACAATGTCTTTAGATGACAGGATGGGGTTTCCTTCTTCTTCCCATGATAAATAGGTAGACGTTTAATGATTGACGAGAGAATTTCGAATCATTTCGTGATTAGGTCCAAGATGTTGCATAACGATGCATTGTACTCCGCCGGTGTAGTGTAATCCCTTAGACACCTTGGTTGAGGTGGTGGATTATCTCTATCATGGTTGACTAGATCATCCATATATGGTCATGGTGAAGAATGTTGTCTTCACTGCTTTCTTACCGTAAGCTCAAGCTCTTGATCGATAGGAATAAACTCCCATTTGTGAGAACACCTCCCTCGCATACAATTTGAGAATTGATTTTTTGTACATGTGATAAGGACAAAGGGTTATAAGAAGGGCAATAAAAATTGAATTGGGGAATGAAAAATAAAGGCGAAAATTGAATTGATAAAGTGAAATGAAAGTCTAAGTTGGAAAAGGAAGATGATGACTTCTTGTTGAAATGCTACTAGATTAGAGTGAGTTCTCCTTTTTTTTCTTTAATCAAATCAATTGAAAATAAAAACGTGACTTTTAAGGGTTAAAAAACAATGATGAAAGTCTAGGGTCTCAGAAACAACCACAAGCAATCGAAGTTAGATTTCAAAGCATTCAACAAATTCTTTCAATTCTCTATATGATAATTATCGTATCTAAGTCTTTGCCAAACACGTCAAACTAAAGTATTCTTAAGTGCAAAATTATTTTCTAGTTCAAACAAAGATCATATATCCTATCATGTAGTCTATCCTGGTTAAGGCTTAAAATTAATATAGAGAATTCTTTGTGCTATAGTAGTGTTTTAAAATGCATTTTTGTAGGATGCTACATTGCACGCTGTAACACCCCGACCCAACAAATTGTTTTCATGTAATTATTTAATTGTGAAATTATGTTTTTGCCATTGGAAGTTTGAAAAGGAATTTGGGGAATTGAGTAGCAACGTTGCATAAGGCTTGTGAATATGAGTTCATAGACAGGAGGCAGGCTCAATTCTGATTTTAAACGAAGAAGTTATGATCTATGGAAGTGTAGTGCCACAATGTAAATATTGCAAAGTCCCAATTTAAGTACAGACCTGGTTCTTTTTTTATGGTTTTCTCTCTCTCTCTCTCTCTCTCTCTCTCTTCCTCCTCTCTTCTCTCTCTGC